GTTTTATTGCCGTGACCCCTTCATTGGGTCACGGATAAAGTTAGCCTAAGGATATTATGACACATCAGCATTATAATTTTAATATTACATGCATAAAATACTTTATAATATATTTATATCTATGCAAATGCACATAATCAAATACTAGTATAAAACATATTGTTGTATCATTTAATTTCGAGTGTTAATTGAGTATTATAATGCAAAGTGTCTAATGTAATGCAGATGCTATGACTATATCATGAAAACCAAAATGGTCTACATCATCAAAATTTAAACATTAACAGTTTCAAAAGGTTATTGTGTACCATGAACTTAACAATAAAATGCAAGCTTTCATCTTTTAACATTGACTAGTTTTCAATAATTAATATTGGTTAGCCTTACCAAAAATAAAATAAAATCAAATTAAAATAATAATAATAATAATAGAAAGAAGTGACGAAGAAGTATAGTCTGAATTGAATCAAACACTCATCACATGTGTGTGTAACATGAATTAACACGCAGTGTCAAATTAAATATTCTGCTATATATACCCCAAAAAAAAAAAAAATAATACACTAATTTACAACTAACAGCAATCAAGAGAAAAATAACTCAAGCACTCTTTTTATCGACCATCTTATATATATTGGTAGAAATAGCTATGGTGCTTGTTATTACGGCAAGCACAATCATCACTGTTGCTATAATCCTATCCGTTGACGTTGAAATACCATGAATATCTCTGCAAAATAATAATAATAGTAAGAAAATGAAGATACATTACTCTTTTAGTAATGTTCCCCTACCTACGGTGGACACATATTAATGTGCCTACCGCTTATGTGACATGCACACATTGATGATGTTAATATGTTAAAAAATACATCATTAATGTGTGCATGTCACATAAGCGGCGAACATATTAACATGTGGCAAGAGCATTACTCTAACAAAAATATCGACAAACAAATGCAAACAAACAATACCCTCTACGAAAAAAAAAAAGAAAAAAATAATAAA